GCCAAAACTATAGCAAGATCTGAACTCTGCAGAAAGCAATCTCATAGCTACTGCCAGAAATATTAGTCTATAAATTACCTCTTTGTCACCTTGCTATGCTCTTGGACCTTTTGTACATGTACCCCCCCAGAGTCAAAAACCTGTCCTCAAACTACTTCTCTGAACGGTTTCTCTGTTTCTCTGAACCTCCTTCATGGGCACTGGGTTAGAGCTACCCCCACCTCCCTGCCCTCCGGTCTCCAGGGCCTTAGGATGTTTACTGAGCATCTTCTACACAAGACGCTGTACCACAGCACTGTTCTTGCAGCAATCCTGTCCTCGTTCCTAGCCTAGGTACTATTATCCCCATTTATGGATGAGAAATCTGAAGCACTAGAGCCAGGGTTTAAATCCAGAACTGGTGGACTCCTGTGCTGTTTCCGCTCTATCCGCTGCCAGTCCCGTTCTGCTGTTTGTGGCTACAGAAAGGAGAGAGGCGTGCATCCTGCCCGCTGCTCCTTATCTTCTGCTTCCACGATATACAGTCACTCCAGAACCTGTTTGAACCACATTTCGTGTGATGTATGTGTTGTAAAAACCATTCAAATGATTTTGTATCTTCTGCATCTTATTGGAGAAACAGCTTGGTGATCCAAACATACCAGTGAGGCCTACTTCTTGTTATTTCTATCGTTGGTTTAGACTCTGAAAAACTCTCCCAGGTGAACATTACACCTGGATGGAAGGCAGGGGAAGAAGAGCCTAGAAAGCCCAGGTCAGATGGACTGCCCCTCCCCTGGAAGCCTGCAAATCATGGAGCATTGTCACACTATTATAAAGAATAGAAATAATATACAAGTTACGTCACAACAAAGGAGGAAATCCTAACTAATGTGCACAGCAGGAAACAACAGTCTGCACATTGGAGATTTACATTGCTGTGTATGCTTCTGTTACCTAGGATAGTTATGGTCTGATTTATACAGCTTCTGGTGAGCCTGTAGTGCCGTGTTTACCAGGAAGGCAGGTGGTTCTTACTTAGGATAATAGCAAAGCACTAAGAGGCACCTGAGACCGGAGGGTCACACAGGAGCATTCCAAGAAGGTTTGCTACTTGGGATGATGGAGGGAAGGTGCCTTACACAGTACCTGTCAAATAGTCCCTTTCTTTTAAGTCCTCTATCTGCTACAGATACTAGCCAGCCCTTAGCCTTGAGCTCTGATAGATGTCTATTCAAATTATAACAAAGGACAAAATCACATGACCAAAGATAACCTTAACTGTCATCCAGCCTGACCCCTTACATCTGGGGTTAGGCTGCCTGGTCTAGCTAAAGCACACACTGGTCAAATCCCATTATGGGGGACTGCACAGGACGTGCAAGCACTGGAATTTTATTAGACAGTTAGAAATCACATTAGCTCCGGCTCTAGCAGACGTCAACGTCCAGGCTTTCTACAGTGTGTTAGTTAAAAAAAAAAAAAGAAAGGAAGGAAAAAAAAAAAAATTCTTTGGCACATCCTAGAAGAGGAGGTGTATTCACACAGTCTCACCCCCGCACCTTCCTCTGAACTCTTTGGTATTTGCACATGTTGTAAACTTTGTACAATCTCTATGAATATATATATATTTTTTTTTTCCATTGACGGGAATGGAGTGTTTGAAGGGAGGCTTGAGGCAGAATAATAGAATAGTGAAAACATCAGCTATGTCTCATTTCAACTCTCTTTCAACCTTTCGTGGAATAGGTTAAGTTAGGGTACTTTTACTACAGAAAGGACAGTCCGTGGAGACTAGCTATGACAACCGTTTTCACACTGGACCCTTCTCATGCAGTCTAGGTAACAAATGTGTTGGCTACTCATCCTCCACTTCTCTCCTTGCCCTCCCATCCCTTCCAAAACCAAAACTGCCTCTGGGCCAGGCGCCCTCCAAGTCCCAGCAGCAGGACGGGGAGAACAGAGGCGAAGAACACAGAACCCAAAAAGATCAGCTTCTAGGAGGGGGTTGCTGGAAGCCCTTCCCACCATCCAGGGGGAAAAAAAATCCCAAATCCAGCAACAGCAAGGGAAAAAGAAGAGAAAAAGTTCTCCTTTTCTTCAGAGCAACACATGCTAGCACTTTACAGAGTCTGGCATGCGTCAGCATTTCTGAAGTAAACTCTATTTTCTTTAGATGAAAGAGATTAAAAAAAAAAAAGAGAGAGAGACTAAGAATTCAGCCCAGTGAAAATTGCTTTGGCCGTTCACATGCAATAAGCCACAGAAGGAAGAAGAAAAAAAATCAATTGCTTCTGATTTATTTACTCATTCATTTGTCCATATCCTTTCTCTCTAATGTAAAAATGGATGTCTTCTATAATTTTGCAAGTCGTTAATCTTGTCAAAGACAAAAAATAATCCAAGCCTCTCACTGGTTGCCCAGCATCTTGGCACAGGAAATACATATTTAATTAATTATCCCTTTGTATATCGATTATGTAAAGAAAAATGGGGATGGATTTTGCTCATCAAATGTTTCTTCAGTGTGTACAATTGGGAAGCCACTGTCATACAGGCAGACCTCGGAGATATAACAGGTTCAGTTCCAGACCACCACAATAAGGTGAGTATCGCAATAAAGCGAGTCATAATCTTCTTTCTGATAGATGGTCTTGCCTTCAATTTGTAAAAAAAAAAAATGCAACTTATGTAAAGCACAATAAAGCAAAGCTCAATGAAACGAGGTCTGCTTGTACAGTTGACCCTTGAACAAAGTGGGGTTAGGGGCACCGACCACTTACATGGTCAAAAATCCCCATATAACTGAAGTCCATCCTCCACATATGTGGTACTCAATTGCAGATTGAAAATATGTACTTTTAAGTCTGATGAAATTGGGATCTCACACTGTTGAAAGCAATGTAAGGCTTCACCTTCCTGGCTGCTTTATTTCTTAATCTGGGTGGTAGGTGCACCGGTGCTCGTTTTATTCTTCTTTAGTCCCTTTTGTACGTCTGAAATATTTCCGACTAAATACTGCTAAATCCCCGAGTCTTCTACAACAGATTCTATTCTGGGCTGTTCTGCACTGAGAACAGAGAAGCGAAGTTGGAAACATCAAAATGTAATTTGCAACAAAGAACAGAAAACGTAAGAGGCCAATTTTGGAAGGATGTTTCAAGTTTGAAACCTGTGCCAAATAATTTCAATCTATTCAAAACGAAATTCTATTATGAGCCCCCTGTACACACAATTATTGAACACCTATTGAAACTGGGTAATAAATCAGCCAAATGAAAATCATCAGGCACCACTGTCAAGTGCATCATTTGAGCCGTTCCTTTGAATTTGCTTATATAATCTCTCCTCTCGTTGAACGTTCAACTAGAGCTTCCTCCCTACAGTAGGGACTGTTTGGGGTTGTGACTTTGTGCCTGTGATCCCCAATATGCCAGGAAGATGCTGTAAAAGGCCAAACTCTGTTAGCCAGGACCTGAGGGAGCTGTTTGTCCTTCTCTTTGGGCCATGGCCCCTAAGCCCCATTTTTTTCTCATTGCCAAGAGGAAACTGCCTTGGTCTTCTGCTCTTTCTGCCACGACATTAAAACCAACTGTCCTGTCCCCCTGCCCACAGAAAGGGGAGAGGAAAAAATAGTCCCAATAACCGAATGTCAGTCCTAATTCCTAACTTTCCTAGAGCCCAAGTCTGCCACCATCTCCCTTTTCCTGTGTGGACAAGGTTTATTATCTTCCCCTTTCCCCTGGCTGCTCAGGCCTCATGACCCAGCAAGCCCTTGAAGGTAGTAAGTGGACAAAGACAGCTCGAGAGGAGGGGCTGTACGAAGAAGAAACAAGAAACACCCGCCTATCTGAGAACATCTATGCCCTGTGTAATCAGCCAGGGTGGGTGGACATGCCCTCACCTCATTATTTCTCTTTAAGATCATGGCTTTTCCCTGCGAAAGGGACTGGTTCAAAAAACTAATAATAATAAAATAATTTTTTAAAAAGTAACACTTCTAGAAAACCTCCAAAGAAATAAGATTCTGAAATTTGAAGCCTTATTTGTTTCATTTCTGAATACCGTTAGAGCAACCGTTTTTACTTCCTTTCCATCAAACACACACAAACCCCATGGGAGCCCCCAGGGAGAGGCTGAAACTTGGCTGACGCCTGCCTCGTGCACCAGTAGGCAGGAACACCGGCTTCACTGGCCTCCCTCTATAAGTCAAAAACCCTCCCTCTGCTGCACCAAAGTTAACAGATGGCTTGTCCCAATTGGTACACAGGCAAAAGCATCTTCAAAATACCCTTTTCCTTTCAAGGGTGCCAGTTCATTGAATGTCACTGTAAAATGTCTCAGCTGAGGAAGAAAGGGAGAAACTGGAAGACAAAGGGTCAAAAGAAGAGAACAAGGATGAGAGGTCACACTCGCCTACCTTCACCCGACGACCCTGAAAGATCGATGATCACATACACTCTGCCTTCTGGCTCCAGATCAATCTGCAATTAAGAAAATGACAGTGACTCTGTTAGTGCATTGTGGGGGCACCCCAAGAGTTCCATGACATTTCAACCCCAAACTGCTAAAACCTGTAGTCACAGCTCCATTCAATTAATTAACCGACGAAGTGTCAAGTGCTAGGTGAACTTGGAACGAAGTAGAATCTGCATTTATGGACTGTCTACAATGTTCTGGATATAGTGCAAGAAGGCCGATGCATAGCCAACAGGTAGTGCACCCCAGTGATTCTCAACCGGAAGTGATTTTGCTGCACAAAGGAAACATTGACACAGGGAACACTGACACAGGGAACACTGACACAGGGAACATTTAGAGGACACAAAAACATCTGGAGACATTTTTGTTTGTCATAACTGGAGAGGGAGTGGTGCTACTGGCATCTAATAGGTGGAGGCCAGGGATGCTGCTAAATATTCCACAGCACACAGGACAGGACAGTCCCCACAACAAAGAATGACCCAGCCCCAAATGCCAACTGTGTCAAGGTTGAGGAACTCTAGGTTATCTCATTTTACAGATAAGGAAACTGTGCTCAAAGTTCCAAGGTAAGTGGCAATGCTGAGATTCAGCCAAGATGGTCTAAAGAAACTCACATTCTTTATACTACACGAACTGCTCACAGGGGAAAAAACAGAAGCGTAAGACACTATTCATGCTCTTAAGGTGTTTATAATCTCATTGGGGAATTCCAAAAAAACCCCCCAAAAACAAAAAACAAAACACAGAGACTAATGCCGACCCCAGCTAAATGATGAGGGAAAGAGAACAGTGGCAAGAGAGTTTGGTGAGCCTGAAATCAATGCAGAAGAGCAGTCTGGGAAGACAACAGGAAGGCAAGAAAGGTGGAAGAAACCGCATAAGCAAAGCCTGAGATCATGCGTGGTGCTGAGCGAGACAAGGACCCCCGTGCTCAGGCTGTGTGTTGGCACATGCATTTTGCAAACCCCAGATTCTACCAGGGTTTTAAAGGGAGAGGCAATATCACTAAAGTCTTGACTTTCTCCACCCACTCTCACTTCCTCCCCCGACCTCCAAATCCAGCTAACTACCTCCTATACAGAGCCAGGCTGATAAAATCCTATGATGGGAGATAAGTCTGAAGGGCTAGGCCTCTTATAGTTGAGACATCTTCACAAGATCTTACCTATCCTTACAGAAACGGAGTCCTCCATGAGAGAGAGTAGTAACTCTAGAAGCTCTGGGTCACCAGAGTCCCTGGTAGCCTACCCCCACACCCACAGTCCCATCATCTACACAGGACTTTAATCGGCTTATCTGTGCCAGGCTTATCTCCCCAACAAGCTGTGAATTGCGTGAGGGAGGGCAGGAAACACTACCCTCCTTTTCTTTTTCATTGTCCCCAGAAAAGAGCAGGCACACACTTAGCAAGCATTACTTAGGCAGTGTCATTATGGTGAATATCTCCTGTTCCTTCAGGGTCGAGGTCAATTATCACCTCCTCTCTGAAGCCTTTCCAGATAGCCCCACTCAGAATGAATCACCTCCTTATGTGTGTTTCCACAGCAGATATGCATATCTTAACCATGGCTCCTGTTAAACTGCACTCGATGGTCCATATGTCTGTCTCCTCTGCTAGGTAGACAGTATGAGAATCATATTTGCAGTCCCAGTGCTTAGCTCACTGTCTGTTCATCAGGAGACACCCAATAAACATTTGCGGAAGTGGGAAAAGGCTCCAGGTTCAGAATTTCCAGAGCCTGGGGTCATTCGCCCCTCTGAGGCCCCATCCCCTGGAAGGGAGGCAAGCAGGTGATATGTACCAAAGTGACATTCAAACGAGGTGAGAGGGGAAAAGACGCAGCTGTACCATGAGCATCACTGACTCCCTGTGAGGTAAAAACTCAGCTTGAACTGATATTCTCCAGGTCTCCCCCAACATCTCACTCCACTCACGATCTCGGTTCCCCGAGCCTTTCATGAGCTCCCCTCTATTTGCAGACTCTGCCTTTCATGGTTGCGAGTGCATAGGATTTCCCTCAGATTTTCACTTTCATTAACAGGGGGCTTCAATGCCTCCTAGGTGAGGCCCTTGATGACATTTCAGGTGCTAGGTCAGGGCAGGGAGTGAGGGGGTGCAGGGAACTCCCAGGTGGCCCCATTCACCTGGGATCTTGAGCTTGAGATCCAGAGGGCAACCAAATAATAAACTTGTGATGCCATGAGATGACTTTTCCCCATTCTTCTGCCCCAAGAGCCTGTGATTTTAGGTTTCTGGGTAAAGAAAATGTTCTCCAGCACCCTGACCACTAGTACTGCCCCTCCACCGCCCCACCCCGTCACAGCATAACCCGGCCCCTGCACTGAATTACAAACAGGAAAACCAACAGTCGGCTCCACTGATCAGAGCCAAACCAGAATCCCGTCCCTGCCACATTTCAAAACTATCAGGGGCCCCCTTGTCCAAAAGCATGGAATTTCAATAATGTATGCCTTTTAGAGATTAGATCATCCCTATTAAATCCTGCCGGCAAAATGAAACGCTTTCTCATATCCTCTAAGTCAGAGATTTCCCACGACTGTGGACTTCACTGGAGAAGTACAATGCTATCTGTGAAAAGCAGGGAGGAGACAGCAAAGGAATGAGACGAGCTGCGAGGCCGATCCGAAGGCAGGCAACGTGCCTATCTTTGCAAAATGGGGGTGAGAACTCGTGTCAGGGAGGACAGGTCATTGACGATAAAATGTATTAGGATATTAACATTCAAGATAGCCATCAGGAACCATTTTAGCACCCACCGCGGCTTCAATGCCGATGAACTGCATTTCCAAACAGAAAAATAGAAATTAAGCTATTAAACATGCCAAAAGCAACAGAGAGCTTTGCAGCTTGGGCAGATGGCCGTAGAGCACTGGCAGAGCCCCAGCCAGCCAAGTGAGGAGGCTGTGAGCACTCATCGAGGGTGGTGCAATTTCACCGTGGATGACAGGAGGGGTTATCAGTCCAAAAGGTGGTGGAGTAGGGTGCCACTTCACGGCCAAATGGGTTTAATCACAGATCCTGTTCACAGTCACAAGGCCTGGAAAATGAAGCAACATAGGTGCCCAGCCCTGCCCAGCCCCTGCAAACTGTCTGTGGGCACCACCACCAAGCAGCTGGCACCACATGAAAGCAGGCCTCCCTCCTCCCAACCATTCCCAGGGTGAGCTCTAAGCTCCTTTTCCGGAGCTCTAGGTCCCTCCCAATTCTCCCCGATGCAACCCTATTTATCAAATCTCCTTGAACCTCATGCTTTTACTTGATGAGTCTTCCCAGCTACTATCTCTGTTTCTTTGATTAGGATTCTCTTTCAAGCTCCAGTGTCTTTGGCTACCCCTGCAGCTGAGGCAAGAGAACTGTGGGAGAGACGAACACAGCCTTTGGAGTCAGACCAGGGCTGGATTCCAACTTACCAACTCAGGCAATTGTTTACTCTCCCTGAGCCGCGGCCTCAATCTCTTCATCTGTGAAATGGGCTGTTGTGAAAACTCCATGAGACATCCATGCAAAGCTCTTGGCGCTTAGGAGATAGTAAGTGGTAGTGAAGAGCGAACTTACTGGCACTGTGGCCTGAAACCAGCAACTACGTTTCTAAGCCTCAGAATGCTCCTCTGTGAAATTACGTTAATGCTATAGGTCCTGTGTCATTTGGGCTGTCATGATGTTACATGAGATCATCTAGGTGAAGTGCTTAGCATGGTGCCTGGCATAAATACTCAGTTGTCACTGACAACAATTGTTACTGTTATTTTTATTAAAAAGCCAAGTCTTCAAATCTGACACTTATTCCAACATTCTTTCTACTGTATCAAGCTCCCCCCAACAAAAAAGGCATTTTCTTGCCCAAAGTGGATATTATTACAAGTTATTCCAGGACATCTGATGACTTTACAGTGTTGTGACTATCAAATGAAGAACTAAGTAAGGTACGAGTCTTGTACCCAGCGCAGGGGGGAACTCAGGGCAAGAAAGGCTATAACCCTCATCATCAGAGGGCCAAGAGCTGCTCACGAGAGGAGACGGGAAGGGTGACCACATATTGTGTGAATGCCTACTGAGCCTCAGACACTGTGTTTGGTGCTTTACCTTCATTAGTTCATTTTATCTCTTAGGAGGTCAGCAACATTACCGACTTTTCTGATGGAAAAACTCGGGCTAAGGCCTTTCAGCCAGACTCTCTCTCACCCAGGGCCGCATGGAACACGCAGGAGAGATGACTTTGATGGAGCGCTCACCTCAAGCCCTGCTCGGCCCTTGAAGCCTTCTCTGATGACCTAGTCCCAGGGTTCTCCTTCCTCTATGCCTCTATGGGTTCGTTCTTCTTCTCAGGTGCAACTGACTGGCTTTCCAGCCCGGCTGGTTTAAGGCCGAGCAATGCCTCCCAGACCTTGCCCTGCCCCATCCTCCAGTTCTTGGGGAAGGTCTGGGCCTAAACAGAACTCCACTCATTTGAGTGAGAACAACGCAATGGGGAAAGAGCCTAAACCATCCATAGACCCGTGAAAAAAGAAATCTCTGAAAAGCAAAAAGACTCACAGGCACTTTTTGGGGGATGGTGCCTAACCTTTCACAAAGCCCTTCACACACATGTATTCCTCACAATTAACCTGTGAGATAATAAGTATTATTAGCACCATTGTATGTATGACAATACCGAGGTTAAGGAAGTGGTCAGTACAGTACAAATAGAACATTCCACTGCCCAACTCTAGGGGGCACCATCAACTCGGCAGTCTGTCAATGAGTCCCCTGGAGCTGGGCAGCCCTGAGGTGAGTGGCAGAGTCAGAACTTGCACCCTAACTCCTGCCTCTCAGTCCAATATTCATCCCACACACCACACTTTCCAGTGGGAACCCTGACCACTCCGCTAGCACCCCACCAGTGATACGGCACTGGGCAGCTTGCTTAGGTGTCACCGCTGCATGTCACTGTGACCCACAGGCAGCTGCATGCCGGTGTTTTGGGACAATCAAGTTCAA